TGTGTGAGGGTTGCGGACGATCGCACGATGAATACAGCAATAAACACAGAGAGTTGAGTAGCTGAACTCTTAGGGTACTTGGATTTTTCTTTAGTGCCCCGCGGTGCGCGGAGTCGCTGTTATATACGATATTAACTGGAAATGGTTTGGTAGGGAAGATGTTGAAATTTGGGGGGTCCTAGGTTGTTGGATTCGTCAGAGAAAATGGTATGGGGGACTGTTGTATCCAGTAGTAAGTAAGTAGAAGTAAGTAGTAGTGTTAAGGAAATCTTCTTGGCTGGGGTTGTGGGTGGAGAAAATCATACATTTCAAAAGAGAAGGTTATTGGAGGATTTTTAAGGTGGTGAGGGAATCAGCAGATGAGGCGGAACCGGATAACGTAAGTTAGAAAATGTAACGGACATAATTTTTTGTTATCCAGCGGTTCCTTTTGATCCCAAGGATAAGATCCGGCGAAGTTTATTTCGCGGATTAAGGAGTTTTAGTGCTGTATTTCCCAGGGTTATTTCGGAATTTTAGTCGGAATTTTTATTGGGGAAAGACGAAAAACGGTCTTACGATTCGGAATTGTTTGTTGTTTCCCGACAGAGGAGGCAAAGATAGAGTGCATGACTCATGTCTGCACAGGACGTAACATTATATAGGTATATATTTTCATATATAATTATATCCAGGTGACATCAGACAACACCATACAAAATTATGTATAAAGTCTTAGAAACATATATATTTGCATGACGCACTATATATATTTTTGTCAAATTATATATAATTTTATATAATTATATATAATTATATATGAAAAATTTTTCATTGGGTGTCGTAAAGACGTTACGTCAAGAATGGATATTTTTCTATCGTATTATTTTAAATATTGTAACACATTATGGCTAAATATTTCGCGTATTCTAATTTTTTAATAAGATACTTGTGCAAAGAGAACACAAACACATAAAGTATCAATCGTGAATTTACGATTGGTTTTTTATAATTGACTAAGTTTCCGTTAATTCATGAATGATTATGGAAAAAGAAACGATAAGAAACGAATAAGAGAATTCGATCCTGTGAATAGTATACTTAGATAGATAACGATATTATTTCTTTCGGAGTCGATATAGTTAAATAATACATAATGGTAAAAAACAATTAAATTCTCTACGAATTCCATCAGTTTCTATCGCTTTCTCTTTTTCGTTTATTATTATCATAGAAATTTATTACAGTTTGAATTTAAGCTATTTTTGCTGTCTTATAAAGTGACCTCGTAATTGTAATTGTAAATGTGTGGGTCTCAAGTGATTATTTTATTTTATTTACGAGTTTACGTTAACCAAAAAAATATATGATCGATTTAATATTTATTGCACACGTAATACGCGTCAATTCTGATTGGTGCATTTAATACGGAAATGTTTATAATATTTCACCTACGAAAATCTTTTCTTTCTCGCCAATTAATTTTAAATTCAGATTACATGTTTGCAATGCGGATCGCGGACTTCACAAGCGCAGATTGATATAAAACTATAAGAAAATATACTTGAAATTGTAATTACAGCTAGATATGTACATCTAATAGTCGATCATAAATCTTTTCCTCTAGTCTAACGTAAATTCATGAACATGTTTATTAACGCCTCCATCCAAGGTCAGACTCTATCAAATAGTAATCTTTTATGTCCCCCTCAAAAACCTACAACTTTTATATTATACATTTTTCCATACATACATATTATGTATGTATGAAACAAATGGAGGAATTTTTGAACATTTATTATAAATTGTGCTAATCAATTGCGCATTTTTGTTCCGTTCTTTTGTTCATTGTTTTTTGAAGATTAAAATATATATGTGTAATTGAAATAAATTTAATTTTTCCACTTATATGTTTGTTTTTTATTAAAATCATAAAATTCCTATTTTGTACTCGTGTAATATTAAAACAAAGCGTCGTAGAGAAAAACATTATTAACAAAATATGTTTGTTTTTATGTTCTCTATTTCCCTTCAAAGTTTGTCGGTCTAATTTTTTTACACCCTGTATATTACAAACGCAATCTGACAGATGCAGGTGTATATCAGTTGGACACGGGGCAATTGGACACAGTCCAATCACAAGTCGCTATTCCAAGGGACCTTACAAATGTCTCTAATCACACGGTGCTGTGATTGGCTGTGTCCAAATGCACCGTGTCCAAGTGCACCGCTCCCGACAGATGCGCGTCGCTTGTGTGCATGCATATACGTGTGATCTGAACTAAATCGCTTGACGATGCAAATGCGGCTTGATGGACAAACTGATTCGCTTGTGTGCGTGCGTACGTGTGTTTGAAAAAAAAATGAGAATCTGGGCCAAAATAAAAAGGCTTTTTAGCGGGTGAGATTTCGAGATCTCCGTATTGCCTGCACCAATTTTAATCAAACTTGATGCAAATTACGCGCGCGCTAAACATTATATAAGGAAACTTTCATTAGATTTTTGATTATAGTTTTCGTGCTTGAGATATTTGACTCGGAAGATCAATCGACCCAGAAATTCCAAATAAGCTTACACGGTCGTTATTTTGTTCGATATGTACTCGGCATCGCGCCGCGACCGCGGCGATTGATGTAAAATTGAAATGTATTTAAGCAATTTTGTGTAAATCCTAAATATTCTTTTATTTCATAATATTATATAGAATCTGACACAAGCTATATCGATAACAAAAAATGCATAAAAAACATTAAACTGGAAGGAATAGTGAAGTCATTTTGCAAATAACTAAATAAACTTTAGAGATATTAAATAAAATAGGCGAATCAACGCGTGTATTTGCTAG